CCTTTCTCGTGCGGCTCTTTGATGGGGCAATTAAAGTGGCTAAACGCACTGGCGAGCGACATCATAAAAAATAAATAAATGTTATTTAAGTATGTGTCACATAAATCAATGCCAATTAATTGGCTACTCGCTCGATTGAAACTGATTCATTAGGTCGAAAATAATCATTTAACGATAAGCTCAACGAAAAGGAATTCCACATAATATGGAAAAATGAATATTATTATTCCTTCAAACATGTTGATATACTCGCACCAATTGGGCACTTCATTTGTGTTCCGCAACTGTGTTTTCAAGTTCAAAAGTATTTAAGCTGCTCCGCAATTAAATAGACAGCCAGTTGAAACCTGAATCATACGATTTATCAAATATCAAGCAAGTGTATATAGAGAAAAATGTATATAAAAAATCAGCTAGCAGCCGCAACAAAAACAAAAACAAAAACAAAAACAACAGCAACAGCAACGGCGAGCGGCAATCGAAATACACTTGAACGTGAGTGAAACAAAATTCATGACCCACTTTATAAAACGCTTTTTCTTTCATCCATGACCCACTTTATTATTTGTAGCAATGACTGTAGCCGAGAGCGACCCACAAACAGCAACAGCAACAGACTGAGAGCATTGTGTCTCTCCGAGCGGAGAGGCCGCACCGAACCGAACTGAACATATGTTTTATTCACACCATTCACACAATTAGTTTGCTAAAAATTCAGGCTTACCCCCTCCCACACACTCACACACACACACACGCACACACACACAGCAGTCTGTAACACACAGCAGCAGCTGAGCAAATGGGGCTTTCGAGGTGCAAGAGACGAGGGGGGCGGCAGCTAGACCAGACCAGACTTAGTTAACTTGGCCTAAACAAGTGCACAAGTAACCAGGTCTCTGCTTATGGCGAATGTGGCAGCTCGCGACAAAAAACAAAAAAAACGAAAGACGAGTTTAACTAAAGTTGCTGCACAATGTTAGTAAAAATCGTAAATACTTACATACATTGTAAGCCCAATGATCAGAGCTAAACATTTTTAAAGGAGGAAAACTGCAGATATCAGTCATGGTAAAAACCTTCGGGAATTCCCAAAATATGATAACCTCACCTTCAAAGCCAACCCGCATATTTGGGTTAGTCAGAATGAATCAGCCATTTAAATTCCATAGAAACTCCACTCCGCCTGCACACATAAACCGAAAAAAAATATTTACAAATTTTATTTGTTTTTCACGGTGATATCAATTTGCAATTGATGTCAAGGATACTGTGCAGTATGCGGAAGTGAATCAAAATGTGAGTCAGGTAAATGAGCATCCAAGCAAATTTGGGGAAACTCAAGATCACAAATTTGAAAAAGTATATATTTCTAATGTAAAGGTGAGAAGTTGTATGATTGTTAATTGGAACCATTTCGAAATATATTAATTAATTAATGAGTTTGCTTTATTATCATAAAATTTGTATAATATTTTGCTTAAAGCTAGCTTAAATGTAGTTTGCAGACATTATATTTTAAGGCATCTTTACAACTGAAAAATTTCTAAATATAACAATATAATTTGTTAAACAATCATTTATATTCCAGCTCATAGAAGTACATATATGAGATATGGAGTATATGTCAAAAATGTTGATACATTAGAGAAAACGCTTACTTATAATATATTTAAAAAGCCAGTATTTCAGTCGAAAATTCAATGGCTTGTAGTGCTTTTTTTTACTTTAGCATATTCCTCTTTGAATCCCAAATTGCAAGTTGGAGCCGACAGGCCACACATCACGTATACCCCCAAAAACCCAAAACAAAATCAAAACAATTTTTCGAGCTTTGCCCCGAGGTACGTTTGCCACTTTCTTCGCTTCCCCGCTTGTTGGCATACGGTGCGTATGAGTGATGCGATTTTGGAGTGCACAGCATACTCGCCATAATGCCCTCATCATCACGTGAGTCGTGACTCAATTTGTCTAAGCTCTGGCATAGGTGTAAATGAAAGCTTCAGAAAGCTGAAGCCAAGTGCCAAAACTCTGGCTGACATAACGATCAACATTAAATGTAATGAGTAATTTGTTTTCTCTATATTTGGATTCTGTACTTTGTTGGCCAACAGCCGCGAGTTGTGATTCATGTGAAATGGATCGACCTTGCCAGTGGGCTTATGTCTCCATTGGTATGCAAATTCATCATCAAAGAGTTTAAAAGCAGTGGAAGGAAGCAATCATTACCAGAACGTTCGGGGAATAATTTCTGCTGACAGGTTGCTGTATGAATTCAGTGGAATTTTATTGACAGCGACGATAAAACAATGCGGTGGCGTTTATTTCACCATTGCGTAATTTATTGAGTCAATTCGGCTTGTCTTGTTTCACTAAAAAAAGACAAGTGATACAGTGCAATATATCCTGAAGTTCAATTAGTACTATTATTATTATTCCTTTGTTTGTTCTTCACTTTTTAAACTGTAATAAAAATATTCCAATAGCTTTTCCCAAAAATGTACATAATTTCTGCCCGATAAATAGAAGCGACTGCTCTTCCCATTTCTACGTCTGTGTTTTCCCAACCACTCAATTTCCCGATGATCAAACAAATGCCTTCCATTGTCATTTTAAGGCACATTGTTTGTTTTCTTTTGGGGCGAAAGTATTGCCTCCTTGTGTCTCTTTTGGCCATCCTCTCACACTTCGGATTTTTGCATATACTTGGCTGTTTGTCTATAAATACGATGTGTTTCCCTCGGCTCATGACGATTAAATGGCGAAAATAGCAAAACACAGAGGCAGATTGAAAGCCCAAGCGGCAAAGTGCAAATTGATAAGCCCAACAACAGCAAAAAGAAAATAAAAGCCAACAAAAAAAGAGGAACTGAATAAAAAAGCAACGCAAACAGCGCGAACAAGTCAACTGACTTACTGCATTAATTGTAATTTCATTAATTTACGCTACTCGCCTCCGTTCGCTCTTTTCTGGCTGCCTTAATTAAGCGCGTCAATCATACGCCCTGTGTGGCAGGCGAGCGGTAGCGATAGAGCATTGGATGGGAATGTGCCTGATGTGGTTGATTATGATCATAGCGGGCTGCCTGCCACATTTAAGTGTCGCCCTGTCAAAATAGCCAACGGCGAACGGAGGCAGCAACGCAAAGAATTCGCACAATTATTGCGCTCGAACGGCGGGAGAAAGGGGACAGGGTATCTGGTAAGCGGTACGTCACTCATTTTGGCACTCAACGGACGGCACAGCACAGCTCACCCACATTCGCGTATACCCTCAAACAGGTAGTGCCCATTTGTGTAAATCAAGGAGAAACTAGGAAATAGTTAAAAAAAATATATTAATAATAACATGTATAAAATAATGCAATTGTATACCCTGTAATTCATTTTAGATTTGATATTTCCAAAACTTGTGCGTAAATTTCAACCATGCATGAAACAGTTACCATATTCTGATTGTTTTTAACAAAAAGTTCTTAGATAATAGTAGATCGTAGTAGATGTGGATACACAAGTGCTTTGTAAGCATAGACTACCGTAAATACCTCATTATGGTTGTGTTTCCCTAGTTTTTCGTTCTCGGCGCTGATTACATCTCCCCATCATGTCCAGTTGCCTGTAATTATTAGGTTGCAGTTCCGAGTTCTTGCCCGCTCCCCAATCTCTGGGGCTCCCTTCATTATGCATATAATGTAATTAAAAAAGCGGAGGAATAAGAAGTAGTTACTGCACCGGGTGGTCCTCAATTTGGACTGAAGGCGTTACGCTCAACTGGTTGGGTGAGTCGAGTCTCAGTGGCCAATGCGGTCCACAAAGAAGGGCGATACAGATACATAGTTCACTGCAATCGGATTGATGAGCTCGCTTGTTTTTTGATTAAGCATATGTACATATGTCGTTTTCTGGCAAAACAGTTTGTCGAGCGTCACACAGATTGGCAAAACTGTATTTTATTCCGCACTTCAAGCGCGTTAAACAAACAATCAATCATCTAGCCGAATGAAAACTGACATGGCAGAGCCCAAATACAAATGTTGAATGCTGAGGGGACACGACACCCGAGCAACAACAAGAGTAATGGTCATGATGACCACTTCAAGTCCGGGTTCTAAGCCAGCTGACAACATTCATTTGACTCACGTTGCGGTGGTAACCCAAAGGCCAACTCCCGCCACCGAAATACTTGCTAAGATACCGGCTAACAACAAATGATTAGGTTTGTGCGGAAAACAAGTAACACATCTCCACATCCTTTGAAGTGGAAGTGAAGTAGCACTGTGCACACTGAAGACGTCACATTCCACAGAAAAATAAACATTTTTGGGAAGCCAATGGAATGCTTCCGTGCTCAAATAGTTGAGATTGCTAAGTGAAACCTCAACGTCAACGGGGCTAAATTGTTGCGAAAACATACCTTTTAATCAAATTTGTTTTAAATTTAATTTATAGGCGCATAAGTAGAATTTATTAAACTACGATGGCTGATGTGCTGTTTAATGATAATGATATTGCTATAAATATCATGTACTTAAGACATCAACCAGCTAATTTTTGTCGGTGCTTCTTGCGCTCCTCATATGCAAATTAATTGGGCAATAAAGAGTAATTGAGGCAGCACATTACCCAAAGTAATACCAGTCAAATATATAGAAATAGAAACACAGGGGCATTGGAAATTTAGCATTCTGATAAGAATTCGAGGCCAAGCCGCAAAAACAAAGTCTATGACCAAATACGAGGGCATATACAAATGTAAGTTGACTTTTTGATTAAATTTAGTGAAAAAACTGTATCGAAAGGCTGAACTGAGCCACAAAGCTAACAGCAAAAGATATCTTTAAAATATGTGCAAATGAAATATTTAATATAGTTTTAAAGCGAGCTATGAAGCATATAACTGCGAAACATTCGTAGATGCGCTTGAAACAAGCTCTGTAATATATTTTACCTATGCTCATTAACAATTTCCCTTGCTAATTTCAAACTCCACCTCCTCGTTGCAGGCTTAGCCCAAGTGACTTACCAGATCATTGGGCCTCAGGTACATCAAATCCATCGACCTCGACCAGCAGCAGCAGCAGCAGTAGTAGCAGCATCAGCGCCAGCGGCAGCAACAACAAGTACAACAGCGGCAACATATCGGTCTGCAACCTGCCGCGCTCATCGCCGGCCGCTGCAACAGCAGCCGTTACACTATCGTCGGCCGCCGGCGGTATTGGCAGCAACTTGCTGAGCGGCTTGCACCACGGAGCATCACTGGCGCCCGGTACGCATCAATTGCAGCGCGCGACGGCAGCCAGCGGAGGCGGAGCTGGTGCTGGGGGCGTGGCAGGCGCCTCGACAGCAGCGGCACTTACACTCCAGCAACATCAGCATCAGCAGCAACAACAGCAGCAGGCGCAACACCAGCAGCAACAGCAACAGCAGCAGCAGCAGCACCAACAGCAGGCGCATCAGCAGGCGCAACAGCAGCAATTGGCCTACCAGCAGTTGCAACTGCAACAGCAGATCATCTCGCAGCGTTCCATACAAAACAAGGCGGCGGCCACAGCTGCCGCACACACGGCAAATCTTGCTGCTGCCCTGCAGCGATCGGCTGCCATTATGAATGCGGTGGCATCGCCGATCTCAGCCAATTCAGCCAACTCAGCGACGTCCGGCGTCCGGAAGATACGGCGCAAGACGGATTCAAAGGTCAATCTGGTAGGTTTTGGGCCCGGGAAGTCCCTCCAAATGCGAACCATTAAGTTTCTCTTATAACGAGCCAGGAGTTTCGAACACCCATTAATAAACATGCAAATATTACGTATACGCCGCTTTGGCATTTGAATGCTAGTTACGTTCGGCGCATACATTTCACTACTCAACTCGATTGGTACAACTTTGGTACAAAACTAATAATTTGTAGAAAGGTAGATTTGAAGTTTTCTATTTGAAGTATTGCTCCGAATATAGAGACGTGCATGAAGAGACAGCTTATTAATATTTATGAAAGCGTTTCATAAAGATGATATGCTAAAGTATGCAAAATTAGCCATAAACTATGCTTAATTGAGGGCTCAAACTCAGTTTGCTCCTACTCATTTCTCAAGTGGCACACATTTACTAACAACATTGTGCTCTTTGCAGCCCCAATCACAAATCAACAAATGCAACAATGAGAAGCGACGTCGCGAGGCGGAGAATGGCTATATCGAGCAGCTTTCGGAGATATTGACGCTGAACAAGCGTGGAGATATGACCTCAACGAAACCGGACAAGGCGGCTATACTAAACCAAGTGGTTCGAACGGTACGATATCTATTACATAAGTACATTTGTTTATCCACTCCCCCTCCCCCCACACGCATACAAGTTAATTACCGACAAGACCCCAATGCATAAGCTCATCAAACGAATTTAATAAGCCCGAAACGCGACCAACTACAACAAGAAAAAAAAAGGCAATACAAGTTGTTATAACACCCTGGGACTGACTGACTTGGTGGACTTGGCCAGTCGATTCCACTGCCCTGTCCGGAATACCAAATGATCAATTACAGCGCAAAAACACAGCCCAGTGAAATTCCCCAATGTAATTTCCATGCAGTTTGCCCGCAGCTTCAGCTTCGTCTTGGTTCTTTTTGATATTTCTCGTGCACAGAGGGAAAATGTTGGTATCTTTGCCATCATACTCATACATCCAGCTCATACAAATTGTATAGTGAAGTGATCCGTGTATGATATAAATGATTTGTGTAATATCTTATGAGCCACTTTCTCCAAAGTGCCTGACTTTTCTCTCTGTGCATCCAAAAACGCGTTCCAATTAAAAAGCAATTAAAAGCTCAGCCGAAAAAGAGCTTAAAAGAATTTCGCGAATGGGAATAAGAGAGGTGCCGAAGCGGCGATGAAGAGTTGGCTGACGTAATTTGGCCCCCGCCGCACCACAATTTAATTAATATTTTTATTTAATTTACATAAATTTATTTATGTTTCAATGGCCCGACCCGACTTTATGTTGTTTTAGGCATTAATGTTGTTGTTGCGCCGCACTTCTTTTATTGGTTTCAGGTAGCCTAAGCACTTTATTATGCAAATTATTTTTGAGCCAAGCGCCACGCTTTGCCGAACATCCAAAAAACCGACAAAACCAAAAACCGAAAACCGAAAAATGTGAAATGAAAAAAAAGCGGAAAAAGACACAAACCAACAAATGGCTTTTTAAATGAAACGCGGCGCACAGCCAACGCCAAAAAATACATAATTTTATTTTGTAATCCGGGCGGGCAAAAACAAAACAACTCATCGGGCAGTGAAATGCAATTAAAGGGGTACAACCAGCTCGCACATGAGTTCCGTACATAATAAACAAATTGAATTAAACGCGTTCGTGTCATGTTGGTTTTTCCCTAATGAGAAAAGCCAACGAAGGGATCGAACCCAGACAATTTTCAGCGCTAATCCAATTGCTGGACCCCTCATGACATATTATTATTCACTTGGCAGAGCCCAACTCGATTAGCTGCTGAACACAAAATAGTGTTGAAAAAAAGATACATCCCAAACTGGAAAGGCCCCGGCGAGATTCGAACTCACGATCTCCTGTTTACTAGACAGGCGCTTTAACCAACTAAGCCACGGCGCCACCTGTCTTCCCGCGTTCTATAAATTCTACTTGGCGTGCTGGTCCCGCACCATTTGCGCGTTATCAGCTGATGATTGGCTGATTAGGTTCGACGGGCTGTTTGCGGATGTTTATTTTTAGCCCCTTCAGTTGAAAATAGCAATCGTAAAGGGCCACACTAACTTGGGAAAATGAGGTAGCGTTGCTACGAGAAAAGGAACTGAATTCAATATAACTCCTGAAGATGTTTTGCCATGATTGAGATACTTGAAAAGTATCTATGAAATTCACTGAATTTTAGGTATTTTGCCTTTGGTATTTGTACTCCTCGGTTTATAAGAACCCTAGATGGTATTTTCGAACCTAATAGACTTATAGCACTAATTATAATTATAAATGGTAAAGATTTATGACTAGGACTGCCTAATAAAAACACAGATTGGTTTAAAACAACAGCCTGACTTTGAAACTAGTGAAACCTAGTTTCAGAAACTTAAGCTGCACAAAAATAGGAAAAATTTAAAACCATCCATAGATCAGCCAAATCAAAAAGATATTCTAAAAGATAAAAAGATATTCCTATATTCTAATAATTTAAACATGCTGCTCTGAGCAGTATGCTACACAAAATGTTTAAGCGAGATTAAAATCTAATAATATAAGTGCCAAAGTACATTGATTAAGTCATTTTGGCTGCTGGATGCGGTACACACACCCCTAAGGCACTGGAACCCGAAAGTATCGCAAGAACTACCGTTCGCCTCAATTAATTTGTATCTGCGCTTTTTATCCCCGATCGCCGAGATACGGGTGTTGACAAACCCCTTTTGCGTTGCACAGCTGCTCGGTTTTATCCAACGCTCGCATTTTACCTGATTTGATCATTTTGGCAAATGTCTATGGGTCAGAGCGCGCCAAAAAACGAAGCACAAGACGGTTGGCAAAGGGGACGGGGTGGCAAAGAGATAAAGCCAGACACGTTTTGGACATTTTCGCGACTGCACGCGCCCCAGGCTTTGTTGTTGTTGTTGGTTCATTTATTTGCAACGGCTACCGTTGCTCTCATTGTTGTTGTTATTGCGATGTTTACTTAATCATTTGACTGATATTTTTCGGAGTGCCTTCACCCCGAAATTCGTGCTCGGGAGCAACTTTTCCTGGTCAAGCTTCCCTTCCATCCGCTTCCAAATTCCAAACAACAAAAGCTCGCTCTCCACTTTTTTTCGGGAGATCAACGAACTGCTTTGAAATGCTTTTGCACCGATGACGTATCGGCTATTTGCAATTTCATATAGTAGCGATTGCGATTCGTTCTATATTGTTCTTAATTGTTGTTGCTGCCCCCACTCCCCCACACACACATACGGCCACGCAAAACAGGTGCACAATGTGATAACACACACATACACGCACACACACACAGTCGATGTGCAAGCCGGTAAACAAAACTGGAAAGAGAGAGTGCGAGAGAGCAAAGCTTCCTTTTTTTGGCAAAGAGCGCGAAGAAGCTTCGTGTTGCCATTGTTGTTCGTCTTCGTTGTGGTTGTTGCTGTTGCTGCTGTTGTTGTCGTTGTGCGTTTTTTAACACAATTGCATTCAAAAATTGTGTGCTTAGTATTTCGGCAACTTTGTGACTGTGCGAACGTTCTGTGTTCTCCGCTTTTCAGTATTTCTGAGATTTTTCGTGAGTAATTTGTTCGCTTTTCGGCCCGAATTGAGTCACACATTCAGAGCCTAGACTCTAATAAGACCAAAAAAAAAAAAATATTACGTGAAAATAAAACAAAAAACGCAAATAAGGGGAGCCGCGAGAAACCAAAACAAAAGTGAAATGCCATTGACATTTGTCCATGCGAAGTTGAAGTTGACTGACCTTGAATTCCCATGTGTGAGAGCGAAACAGTTTCGAGAGAGAGCCAGTGAGAGAATGGGGAGCCACTGGAAAGTGGGTGGCAGTGGGAGGCGGGCCGTGGAAGTTCTAAGGAAAACGAATCCGAATCCTCACCGTAACAATAATATTTGAATATGACGAGCGCATTTCGCATGCTTTTTTCGCAAATGTCAATGACTTTATTTTCAAACGCGCGCGTAAAAATAACACAAACATAGAACCCTAACACACATGCCTCCGATAAAATGCGGTTTATTGCACTTCCATTGTGTCAATACAATGATATTACACATATAATAATAAAGTGTGCCGATCTTTGTGCTATAATTATTAATATTATTACTGGCTCTGTGTCATATTATGCATGAGTTTTTGCTCGGGATGCTTCCGCATCATCGCCAAATAAATAATGCCCGCAGTTTAAATGTCGGCGATAAAGTGGGCGCGATGTGAATGAAGTTTTTACATTCGCATATGTATCTCACAGATGCGATCTGAGCAAGAAATGATTCTTTACCCGTCACAAAGTAGAATTTAAGATGAATATCTACACTCGGCGGGCCTATTTCCATTGCAAGGAAATTTTATATTAATAAGATCGAATTCAATGCAAAGTTATCCTCAATACCTCAAAACCACATACTAAATTGAACACTCTTTCAAATACCCTGCTCTTTTCAGTATCGTGAGATCTGTGACAAGGGCCAAAATCGTGATATATCCTCAACGTCGACGAACAACAACAATTCCACGACAACGACCAACAACAACACGAATAGCAACAATAACAACAACACCAGCAAACCGCAAGCAACCTCAACACGCTGCAGCCGCTGTGCCACGGACAACTGCTCGATCCATCCGGTGCAACAGGGCGAGGTCTCCTCGACGGAACCGCCTCTTCCGGAGCCATCACTCCTGCTCGGCCAGGTGCCAGAGATATCGGCATACTTCGAGGCACTCGAGCACTATATCAGCGGCGTCGGCTGGGTCCTGCTGCAGGTGAACGCCAACGGCATCATTGAGTCCTGCACGCAGAACATCCGCGACCTGATCGGCTATGAGAAGCAGGAGCTGTACCACCAGCCGCTCTACATGTACCTCTATTCGGGGGATCACGCCAAGCTAGAGCCGATCATCAACACAATGTACAACAATCCCAATGGCGGAAGTAGCAACTCCGCCAACAATTCTGGCCCGGGTGGCGGTTCTGCTGGCCCCTCGGCGGGCGTTTGGGGCGATCTCGAGGAGCTGAACAACGGCAATGCCTCACAGGGCTCCAATTCCAGCGGAGCGGGCGGCTTGGGACGAACCGGTGGCGCAGCGGCGGGCAAGTCGAAGGGCAGCATCTCCACCAAGGTGCGCATGCTCGTTAAGGACACGCGCACTGCCACCCAAACGTCCTCAAACTGCGAGGAGAAGCCACTGAGGCAGTCCGGCCATCAGGACAAGTACGAGGAGGTGGTCCTTATAGCGGCGCCCGTCAAGGGTGAGTACTAAAACACCGACTAAAGTAGTTGAATCCACTTAAATAATAACAATGTAATACTTTCAGACGATGCCGATGCCAGCAGCTCGGTGCTGTGCCTGATCACACGACCGGAGGATGAGTCGCCCTTGGAGATCAACATTCAGCAGCATGTGCATCAGCAGCCGATCGAGCAGATGACTTTCAAGCTGGACATCCACGGCAAAATACTCACCCTCGATCCCACGGCACTGCGGGAGCCGTTTAAGCAGCACCTGCAAACGTGGGTGGGCCGCCTGTGGCAGGATCTATGTCATCCACACGACCTCTCCACCCTCAAGTCGCACCTGCGCGACATACAGGACTCGGCCAGCGCCAATTCGCCGGGTGCCGGGGCAGGCAACAGTGTGGTATCTCGTCCGTTTCGTTTACGACTGGGAGCACCGGATGTGTACGTGCATGTGAAGGCAAACTCGAGACTGTTCCTCAACCAGACGCCTGGTGAGGGCGACTTTATAATGTCCGTACAGACGCTGCTCAACTCGGAGAACGACATGAACAGCAGCAACACTGGAGCGGGCAGCGGCGGTTTGGGCTTGGGCCAGCTGTGTACCATGGTGCCAAGCCCCTCACTTGCCAGCTCCCTGCTCAGCAGCCTCTCCATGGATGGTCTGCATGGAGGAACCGGTTCGGGATCCTCGTCTTCGCCAGCGTCCGCTGGCATGTTGCCCACCCATCTGCTGGGCGGACTGGTGGGCGGCGGTCAACAGGGCGGCGGTGGCAACAGCACACAGACTACAAGCGTGGGCGGACCGCTGATGAGTAGCGCCATTATAAACGGCACCGGACTGCAGCAGCAGCAACAGCAGCAGCAGCAGCGATCCGGCGCCAGCTCATCGGCCAGCTCGTCCGCAAATGCGCTGGTCAACGCGTTTACCGCCTCGCCAGCGCCTGCGGAGCACAGCTTCTACGGGAGCGATACCTTCGAATTCGACATTGCAGCACATTCCTCCTCATTCGAATTGGATCCCAGTGGCGGTGTGGGAGCCTGGACGGATTCGCGTCCCAATTCGCGAGCCTCGGTGGCCACGCCCGTTAGCACGCCGCGTCCTCCGTCTGGACACGGATTTAGTCCGGCTGTTTGCGCTTCTCCGGCCACGCCGTATCAGCTCTCCTCGCACTCCGCCGCCAGCCTACCCTCGCCGCAATCAAATGCCAGTGCCGGCGGCGGCAACTACGGTGGCTTCAACTTCCACTCCTTCGAGGCGGGCGATGTGAAGCCCGAGAAGGATGTCCAGCAGCAACAAAACCAGCAGCAGGCAAACAACAATAGCAACAGCAGTAACCCACTATTGGGCGGTGGTCTGCCGAACGGCGTTGGTGGAATGTTGCTCTCCCAGCAGCAGCAGCAGCAACAGCAGCAGCAGCAACAGACACCGCCGCAACAGCAGCAGCAGCAGCAGGAATCCTCGGAGCGATTGCGCCATTTGCTGACCAAGTCGCAGAGCATGGCCGGCGGTCTGGGAGGACTGGGCGATGATGAGAAGGTGAGTCCCAAAGTAAGATGTAGGTCAGCAACTTGAACTTGGCCGAAACAGGTTTTGCACATGAAAATTCACGGATCTATACTAATGCAAGTACAATTATTTCGCAGTACTTCAAGCCCGAGGGCAGCGAGGATGAGAAGCACGCCAGCGGTGGTTTCAAGATGGGCGGCCAGGCCGGAGGATTGGGATTGTTTGGCCCCATGGGATCGATGGGGCGTGGTGTCGGCAACTCAAGTATGCTGCACAAGGCAGGCAATTCGCAAAACCCTATGCTGCTCAAGGTATGATTCTAATATTACGAAAAGTACCTCCCATTCTGAACACAGACCTACTTGCAGCTACTCAACGAGAAGTCCGAGGACGATGATGGCAACGGATCGGGCGGTGGGCCAGGTTCTATGAACAACTCGCGGCAGAGCGAGCTGATGCGCCAGCTAAAGAATCCGGACGGTGGCAGCCACGGGATGCACCGCAACAGTGCCAGCGGCAACATGAGCACCGAGGATCTAAAGGCCATGCTCAAGATCCAAAGCGATCCCTCGCTGAATCGAAAGAGACCGTTGAACGAGCCCGACGACGATCCCTCTGCCAAACGGTCGGAGGACAAGCCCAGCAAACTGTGCACGCAGAATAAGATGTTGGCCAAGCTGCTGCAGAATCCGCCAAAGATACCCAAAGCACCCAATCCCGAGCAGCCGCTGCAAGTGAAGACGCTGCCGGACATCACCAGCTCCACGGTTAGCAGCACGCTGGCCGCTCCGGGTAACCTCATTAGCGCTGGCAGCACCGGACCCAAAGCGGCCGCCAATCGCAACCGAAAGCAGCAGCAACAGCAGCAGCAGCAACAACAGCAGCAGCAGCAGCAACAGGTCGCCGGCATTCCTTCCCAGCAGCAACCACAGCAGCCAAACGATGTCTACCTCAGTCAGCAGCAGCAACAGCAACTCCAGCCGCCGCAGCTGGCCTTCCAGCACCAGCAACAGCAACTGGCGACCACAGCAACTACCTCAATTACCACAGCGGCCTCCACTTCGGCTGCAGCAGCGGCAGCGGCGGCCATGCTGTGCGAAAGCGACTCGGAGCTGTCCAAGTTGCTGGACAGTGTAATGGAGTATTATCCAGATGATGCTCCCATCGTGACCAGTGCCCCATCCGAGGCCTCGGCCATCAACGACATTCAAAAGTCGCTAATGCTGGACGTGGAGTCGGCGGCCTTTGGAAACGATCTAAGCCAGCAGCATATGATGAGCCAGCAGCAACAGCACCAGCAACAACACCAGCAGCAACAGCTGCTGGCGCTGCAGCTTGCCCAGCAGCAGCAGCAACAGCGACAGCAGCATCTGCAACAGCCCCCTGCCTACCCGGGAATGCTGAACATGCAACAGCAGCAGCAGCAGCACCAGCAGCAGCAACAGCAGAACCAGCAACACATCATACAGCGCCTGGAAGCCATGCGCAATCAGGGCAACCAGGGCTTCCAGCGACCACCACCCATGTATCCCGCCCGCGGGCGTGGGCCCATGAATGCGGTGGCCACTCCGGGCGGCGTGGTGTTGCCCGCCCAGCAGCAACTGCGAAACATGCGACAGCAGCAGCAGAAGGAGCGCTTGTTGCAGCAACAGCAGAAGCAGCAAATGCTCGTTCCCGAGAATGCCAGTGAGTATTTGCTCGGTTTGCCACGTTTTCAAGATAGATTATTAAACATTTTGCTTCCTCCTGTTTTAGCTGGCATGAATGCGGGCCTGAACAACATTGGCTCGCTTCTCAACACGACGGTGGCTCCGAACGTGTCCCTCTCCCGCACGAACCTGCCCTCAGATGCCCAGCTCAGTCCAAACTTTGCTCAGACCCTGATGCAGCAGCAGCTCAGTCCCGGTCGCAGCGCGCCCTACAGCCCGCAGCCCAACCAAGGTATGCTGATCCCGGAAATGCGTTAGCATTGATAACTAATGGTGCATTTGGATTTTCAGGCTATGCCCCGCAGTTTCCGCAACCTGGCCAACGACTTTCCCCGCAGCAGCAGCAGCAACTCAGCCAGCAGCAGCAGAACAATGTCCAGCAGCAGCAGTTGGCCTACCAGCAGCAACAGGTGGGCGATGGCGGACGTTCCAACACACCGTTCGGCTCAAACTCGGGAATGCAGTCGCCGGGCATGCAGAACAGCCCTCAGCAGTGGGGTGCTGGCGGTGGAGGAGGCGGTGGACCCGGCGGCCCACTGCCGTCTGGCAATACCGGAAGAACACTGCAGCAACACAATCCGATGCTCATTGCACAGCTGCAGGTGAGTGTCTGAGTATTGATCCAGCCAAAGCAGACCCATTAACACCTTTCCATGGCCGCGCCGCAGGGCGGGAGTCCGTACAATGCGCGTCAATACCAACAGAACCAGAGACGCGGCCTCAACTCCCCAGGAGCAGTCGGACCCGGCGGCAATCCGGCGGCGCAAGCGGCTCTCCAGCGGCAGAACTCGTTCCAGGGACAAGGCGGTGGCGGAGCCACCACGCCCGATGGTTCCGGCGTGGGCTTCGGCGGTCCGCAGTCCCCCTACGGCAGCAATGTAAATGTTTTCCAGCAGCAACAGCTGCAGCGACTGCAGCGGCAGGGCAGCGTGCCACAGGCCACCCAACATCTGCCAGGTAAGAAGGCGAACGGGGAGCCAAGCTGGATCCACCATTGAACTGAGAACTAGGCGTTTAGTTTGTTTATGGCGTATAAAAAACGTTTTAGGGGCAGGCGAGGGGGCGTAAATTAGGATATCGAGATAAAAGTACCTATTAATGCCGCCTTGAGAAACAAACGTAGTTGATATATCTCTTGCGATTTAAGCACCCTAATCCACATACTAAACATTAAACTACATACTTAGACAGCTTTACACAAACTCACACATAGTACACACACACAAACACACACTTTTGATGACCTGAACTAGTTCTAATCAAAGCCAAACGAAACCAACCAAAACCGCTTAACCAAAACAGGCTCGCCACGCTTTGGCTCCTCACCGGGCAGCAGCAACAACACTGATAGCTCAGCTGCCGCCGGCAACCAGCAGCAGCAGCAGCAGCAGCAACAGCAGCAGCAGCAGCAACAGCAGCAGCAGCAACATCAGCAGCAGCAGCAGCTGATGAACGGGCTGAGCATGTCGCCGCACCCGCATCCGCACCCGGCGATGATGGGCGTGGGCGGCATGGGCAGCGGCGGCGGCAACGGCATCATTGGCCTTGGCGGCGGGGGCGGCAACTATGGGGCCACCCTTGGCGGCTACGGGCAGTCGCAGCAGGCGAATGATTTCTATGGTCGCGCCCAGACCGGTAAGCCCGTGTGCTATTTTCTCTCTCTCAAACTGAAAGCATCATTAAATATCTCACGCGATCGCTGTACAAATCACCCCGTCTTGAACTCTGTGTATATATATATATATATATATATAATATGGCTGTATAATCATTGCCACGCATCGTAAAGCAATCAAAATTTTGGGAGCATTCTGTAAATACCTATCGAAAATCTACATCTGAGCTGGGAAACACACGCATCAACACCCCTAACCCACACATAAGCCCACACATGACCCCATCTCTGTATAACTCTGTACGATCATTGTAATTAACCCAAAATGTCCACTTGGTTGAGCTGTACATAATACCCAGCATACATAGTTGCAGGCGCTGCACCCCACAAACACATTTGGTGTGCCCAAGTTACCCTACAATGTTTAGCCCTAAGAACACATTTAAAACCAAGTTTGAAATATATAAATGATATATAAACTAGAGTTTATCAAAAGCAAAATCCAAATTGGTCACCGCTGTAGGAGTTTAGTACGTTTTTCGGTACCCACCTAGCAAAATTAATTCCCACTTTGTAATCCCAATTTTCAGTGTGCCGCCAACCTTTGTGTTCTATGTTGTATTCCGTTGTGTATGTTTTGTGTTTATTTTATGTTTTATGTCTAGAATTGAGCGAAGCCAATGTGACTAAACCCTATTTTATATTGTGGCTTGAAGCCCACATAGTTGATCCATAGTCACTCAAGCGATGCCCTTCAATCTTTCAGCTGGCGGTGGTGGCGGCGTAGCCGGTGGTAGTGCCAACTCCGAGTTCGTCAAGCAGGAGCTGCGCGCGGTGGTCAGTGTGCGCGCACAGCAGGCGGCTGCGGCAGCCACCGGAGGAGCTGGAGGCGGCGGTGGCGTCGCTCAACGGGGACAGACGCCGCAGAGTCCGCTGCAGCAGGGCTCGGTGATCGGGGGCGGCGGCGGCATCGTGGGCGGGGTCAACAGTACAAACAGCATGGGCAACGTGACGCCCACGGGCAGCGGCAATGTCAGCAACTCCATGCTCAACACGCCGCCAGACCCAACGCTGAGCTTCAGCTTCGAGACGCGTAAGTATTGGCACGTATATTTATTTTGGTTATAACTACAAGGCTTTGCTTATATTTCCACAGCGGACTTCTTCACCAGCAGCGCTACGAGGTGACCCTAAGGTGCCTAGTTGAGACCCAAGGATCACGTACAACCAAAACTTCTCTTGCGCACGCATTTATGGCTCTAGATACGAAAACAATAGGAAATGAACGGATGAATGGCGAAGCATGTACATCTAATTACAAATATTAGCAGCACTATTTAAAAAATATATACCTAAATATATTTATTTTATAATACTAGCAAATATTAATTTTAAAGCAAAATGGGAACCTCGTCTAAAAGAAATCGCGAAAACATAAATACCAGACACAAGCTCTAGTTAAATATTTTCAAAACCGCATATAATAACTTCAAGAGAAGATGCAAACATGATATAAGGAATGCATATTTATTACGTTTAAAGATAAAGCCTAGTACTAAGAGCTATATATACAATAGAAAGAAAGCAGAAACATAAATTATGCGTTAAGTGCTGGCCGTTTCGAGGTGTTGTTAAATTGATATATGTATATTTAAAGAGAATTAACATTAATATTGTATAACATTTGGAGAAGCGTTGGCCACGGCAGCAGTTGGCTAAGCTCTAGATATAGCGACAAGCGATAATATACTATAAAGTATACAATTGGATGGGAAAGCATGTAACATGTAAACACACAAAAACACAAACTTGCTGTACATTTAAAAGTAGTGTTGAATTTTTTCAGTGTGATAATTTGTTGAATTTTATGTACTAAATGTTGCTAATTTGTTGCTGCAAAAGCATGAGGACCTCGACCTCCAAAGCCTTTGCTTTATGTATACCTTCTTAATCTTTTCAATCATCTTGAAAAATGACTTTTCAATTCACCAATTGACCAATTAGACCCAAAATATATCACTTTGACTGGGGTTAGCAAAACTATCCCTTTCCTGTAAATATTTTCATTGAATAACTTTTCTAAGTTGTGCCGCCTTTAATTTAAAATTGTAATTTAGTTAATGCTCGTTTAAATTTATTGTAATTATGTTTAAATACTTTTATATCAAAGCGAGAAAGCAAAGCGCGCATAGCAAAATTGGCGTTGCAATTTCATGTGAAGGCTATTTTACAGGTTTTGTTTAAACTAATATGTAATCTTAACCATTTTTATATTAACTATTACACATTAAATATACAAAATTGGCATGTATGATTCAAAACACTTTCAATTAACATTTTGCAAGCTAGAGCTAGGCAAAAACGTTTCACGTTTTCTATTATGTAATTTTTTATTGATTTTTGATTTTGTTTAAATCTTTAAGTCTATTAAGTTGGGTTCAATCGTTATAAATATTATTTTAAAGAAGAAACGATACAAATGCTATACAAATATTATTGATATAAATTTAGTTTATAATTTTATTAAAATACTGTTTAAACTGCAAAGCCCTAAATAAAAATTTATATACAATATTTTACAAATTTCATGTTTTCTTTATTTATTAAAAATCGTATTTTTTGACAAATTTTTACACTGAAATCGGACGCGAAAACAACGATAACCAACACGAATAAATGGAATAAATAATAAAGGGAAAACGGCGATATTAAAACTTGGGAAAATAGAAATACCTCTCGTTAAGTTCAAAAGCGTATGAAAAAAATACAAATTTATAAAAAATATTAAACTTAACCGAAAATTCATTAATATGTATTAAGACGACTATGGTAAATTGTAAATAGATTGCAAATGGTTCACATAAATTACTTCAATATCTATTAAAGAACAAATTTCTAGACGCTGCTAGCTAAATTATAATTGTCACACTTCAAGTTAGCTTAGAACGAGATTTTCTTTAAGAGGCTACATTTAATGCAATTAAATTAAAAATTATAAAACATAAATTCAAAGATGGTGGCCAATTTTCGGACCCCAGCTCTCCCCATAGTTTTTATACTGACAAAACCTCAAACCAGGAAAGTATAAGTATGACAAATGAATATACACAAGTATACTGCATTTAGCATTATATATACACTATATTAATAGTTTTAATGCCAGTTATTCATATATACCGATTCATAAATATATATATATATTTATACGGGGTAAGGATATAGCAAATTTCACACACAGCAACACAAAAAGTACATATAAAGTGCATTAATGAATTTAAGCATTTAATGATATTAATTAATTTATAAGCATGAACAAATATTGGGTTTATTTCGAATATATATTTAAAATAAACAAATATTTACAAGTGGTATAAACTTCATGGAGTATACTAGGAATTAACTAAGTACTACACATAAAGCTAACTAACCTAAATGCAAATAATATTTACGTGAGTGCAAAGCGGAGTTAGTTTTGATAAGCATACCTACTAATAATATATGTATGATTTGGTAAGTTGTTCTGTTATCACGCACCTTTAACCGATCCAGTTGCGCATACATTTTTGTACATACAAGCATCTTAGAATTTTATAACAAAATTAATCTAGTTTTATACCAACTCTCGATCTAAGCTTTTTTCGAATTGAAGATACAAATTGGTTTCGCTGGACACATCCGATGTAAAAGCTAATTTTATATTCCGAATCTGACTAGCGGACGTACTTATTTCTTCATACTGTACAGTCATTTATGGATTTTATTTGTATGCAACCTAGTACCATAAAATTTGTACCAAATCACATACTGACGATTTAAGATATTAGCCGAGAAAGGAGATGGAATGAGAATTACAAAACAAATAATGCAACGCCCTGTACCCGTGCATAAAGCCTACAAAGATTTGTTAAACTTGATATTACAAATAAAATACAAAATACTATTTACTAAATACAAAAGATGCCCTGAACCGCAATGAGTAGTGCCCAAACATAAGAATAACGAAATACAAACCTAATATATAAACTAGCATTTAAAGGTTATAACGAATTCTAAAACAACAGCCTCAAAGAAAATAGTTTTTAAACAAAATAGCAAAAATAGCACAATTTTGTAAAAAAATAAAAATAAAAACGAGTAGAAATTTGTACGAACGCAAAATAGATCAGAACCGAGAGCAATATAACTACAAATTTAACGCAGATCACGCAGCACAGCTACTCAATATTTAAATTAACTTCTTTTCAGTCTATGCAAAAAAATAGAGGAACAAAAGTATCGGTTTGATGGAAGAAGGCATCGTTGATTGGCTGTGTTACCAAATGGGAAAAAAGTTGAAAGACCGAAAAACGTACGACGAAATAGGCCTAAACAATGTGCAAAATTTGGAACTGGAAACCATTTTCAAAAGAAGCAAACGAGTTTGAAATAGTTGGTCGAGGTTAGCGTAGTTAGAGGCGTAGGAATCGAAACCGATATTCAAATAGATTGGTTTTGCACGTATATAGGAGTTTGAATTAATGCTGAATTTACGGAAGTGATCAGATCTTTAAGAGCAGGCAACTTCAGTTCAAAATGTCACATATGCATCTAGTTTTGTTCACTCATCAACGATTTTTTAGCGCTTTGATGAACATACTCGTATTATGGGTATTGTGGTAATTTGGGTATGCTATAATACGTGATTTGGAGGGAAGACTGTACTCAAGAGAACGACAAATTGTTTCAAGATTATCATGAGCATTTTGATTAGATTATACTCGTTTATTGCAGGTTTTGACACAGGGCGACTGTTCATCGCACTGCCCATACATATGTTTGATTCTTTGAAATTGTTTTACAAAAACTATCAAACCCTAACCACACAAACATACTGAATGTTACAAATCTGAGTGTTATGTTGTTGTCATCTGTCACTGTTTACACGTATCGATTGATTGTCCACATATATGTTGTCTTTGTCCCTAAAATCGTATTGAATAATTCAGTGAAAACAAGCGTATTTTAAGTCTCTATATATGTACCTTTTGCTATATATTGTATTTTTATGTATCTGTAACTATATAAACGCGTACCACACGCCCACTCCCACTCACATTTCACACTCTAATGGGAAACCGAAAACAAATGCTAAAACTTACACTATAAACACTAAAAATTAATGATAATTTTTAATAACTAAATCTGTATATGTGTAAATGTAACGTTTGTCTAAGGATTCACACAGTTAAAACTGAAGATGAAAAGTTGGGAAACCAAAGAGTTTCGATTGAATTTTCATTTGAAAGAAAACACAATACACTTTAATTTAACTAAGTACTTACAAGCATAATTGACAATGTTCACACAGACACACAAAATACACACATGCAACACAATAGAAAAATGTTTAAACAATTAAATTTAAAGCTAGTGGAGACGAAATTCTGTACGCTATGTTTGTACTTACAAATCGATATATATATACATATATATATATATATACATAAAGTAATTAAATTTATTAATTAATTATACAACAAAAAGCAAGCAAAATGCAGCAGACAGCAACAAGAACAACAGACACGTTCACTTAATGTTTAACAACTGAACAAAAACATTGAAAATGAGAAAATGAAAAAGACTAAATAAAATATTAATGAACTAAGCGTACAAGTACGTGATCTTGGAGTTTCTTTCGATGGCTCCTACGGTTTCGATTTCCCCAATTTGTTGGCCAAATCCACGATCAAGCCGAGATTGGCATTCAGGGTCTTCACCTGATTCAGGGTGTTCTCGTCCAGCTGCATCAGTACATCCCGCTTCACGGTGTTGATCTTGTGCGGCTTCACGGTGATCACGCCGGCCTTGGTGGGAATCTGCACGTCCGCATAGCGACCTGGGAGCATCTGGACGGCCAGCGGGCTTCCCGCCTTCGAGAGCACCACCTCTCCGGCGCGCGGCCAGCGCACAAAGCTCATGGTGTCGCCTACGGGAGCCCTGTCCGCCGACTGCGCCTGAATCCTCGTTCGCTGCTGATTCTGCGGAGTGCGGGTCCGACCACGATAATGGCTGATGGACTGACTGCGAGTTGTCGGCGGCTTGGGAGCTGGGTGGAGGAATCGGTTATACATATAACATTTACTCTTGGATTGCCGACTGTTTTGTCTAATCTCACCTGTCCACTGATGATCGGCGAAGGTTTTAATCCTGAGAGCCAACAGTTCTGACATCTTCATTTCTAGCAGCCTCTTGTCCGTGCTTCCACGTAACACCTTAATTTGGTTGTCCACCTCCTGCTTGTACCGCTTGCCCATCTCATCGATCTTCTCCAGAGCCGAGTCCATCTTGATTTGGGCCAGACGCACTTTCTCCTCGCGATCAGCCACCTGGCGCTGAGCCTGACGACGTGCTGAAATCTTGGTGCGCGTCATGTTTTTCACGATCTATATAGATTCTTCCTGTATCTAATCACTAATCACCCAAAGGTAACAAAGTCAAAGGGCTCTTTGGTGAAAAGACGATACAAAACACAAGATGTTATTCAGAGGAAGCTTTTTCTGACAAATCCATACAGTTTTGCTTGAAGGCGAGTTTTTTTGGTTAGACATGTATTTAAAACATTACATTTAAGTCGCCGTACACTTGGATATGAACATGTAAATTGAACTTGTATTGAAACTTAGGTAAATACGATAGATTTTTATATATGAAGGCAAAGTACTTGAACTAAATGAGTAAAATGAAAACTGAACTTAGACGAAACGTACTAAAATATATGATATAGCATTATATCTAGAAAAGCGTTCGAAATGACAGCTACTTGAACACCGTCTGGCTGGCCTTATTAACAATCATCTGCAAGTTCTCGTGCAGCGTTTTGATCTGGTTAAGGGTGTCCTCGTCCAGGTTCTCCAACAGATTGGACTCCACCTCGTCGGCATCCAGTTTTTTGGGCCGCAAGCTAAGAACTCCGTTCCGAATAGGAATGTTCACATTGGCGAACTTGTCTGGCATTCTACGTGCGGGAAAACGGTTTTAGCAAATGGGTAATCGTCACGTAGGATGCAAACTTACACTTGAGCCACCATGGGACTGCCGTACTTGGAGAGGGCCACCTCGCCGGGCTTTGGATAGCGCAGGAACGCCATCGGCGGTGTGGTGGGCGATCCGGAGCGTACTGGCTTCTTTAGAGGAGTGCGATCGGCACTGAAGGCCTTCGTGCGCGATGCCATTGGTGTGCGCAGCTTGCTGCGCGAGTTGCGGCCGGAGCTGCTCGAAATGGACGGCGGTTTGGCCGAGTGCAATATGTTGAGATCCCCGCAGGCGGAACGACTACGGCGGGCTCGACGGGCCCTCGCCGAGTGCAGTGGTCCGGGTGTTCGCATCGCCCTCGTGGACCGCAGCAGGGAGCCTGTGTGGGCGGCCGCGATGCTCGCACCGCTGGCACCGATGCTGCTGTCCTCTGTAAGGTAGCCTAGATAGAGTGACCGGCACAGGATGTGGATGTGGGTGTGGGAGATGCATTTTGCGTGCATTGAAATGTGCGGTGCGGAGTTAGAAAGCAAAGTTGAGTTAGTCACAAAGCCGGACACCAGTTAGATTAAAATTAAACGTGAAAATGGCAGCAACCGAAGATTTAAATAATTTGCTGACACTAAACTAAGTCTTTCAGCTTCTACTTGTGGTTATAATAAAATACGCATGTTTTGCATGAAAAACTTAACTTAATCGGAAGAACTAAGCGGCTAACTTTGGCTTCTCCAGGAGACTATATAGTCTTCTAGGAGGTGGATAGTTAACAATAACATTTGGCTTTAGAATGCGGTATGTAAAACCGGAATTCGCTCGGAATTCTGCTCATGAAATCCCTGCCATTCATATATACATATGTAGGCCCCGTGGGGCGGACAAACCTTCGTCATTGCGGCTCCCGGTGGCGGAGGGGGCGTGGCCCTCGGTGACGCTGCCACTCATGGACATGGAGGCGAGCAGCTGCGTCTGGTCGCTGGCCTTGAAGTCGCTGAAGCGGTCCAGCTCCTCGAAGAGGCGCAACACCTCGGGCATCTTGAGGTTGGCCAGCTCCTTCTGCACCTGACCCAGCAGGGTCTTCACCTGGTGGTCCACGGCGGAGAGGAACTTCGTCTCCAGCGAATCGATGCTGATCAGGCGGGAATCCATTTTCAGCTCGTACAGGCGCAGCTTCTCCTCGCGATTGGCCACCTCGCGGTTGCGCTTGGAGTTCTTTGGTATCTTGGTGCGCGGCATTCTGGCAGCGGCTTTTGATTGCTCGTCGTTGCTTCTTAAAACTGCTGGACTCTTTGAAGGCAGTAACAATTTTTGCAGCGAGCGTCGTCTTTTTTGCTTTTTCTTGTTTGTCCGCTAAAATTCAAGCGTCATCGAACAGTGTTGCCAGATGGCTGCACACCGCCAAGTTGTCGACCGATTAGGAATACTAAAAATATTATCGAGGTGGCAGTGGAAGACGGTAACACTAATGCGCGGTAAATTCAATTCAATAATTACCACTTAACTCAAGCCACTCCAAAATAATAAATCGAATAATCTTTTATCTATAAAGAGCCCTAAACCGATGACTTCCACTTCGATTAACTTGAAAATCGACTACCCCCGATGCCAGTGAGTTCTGCAACTAATTTCGTTTAACGAACTAGTTCCTCATGTCAGAGATCAAATCGACAATCGATTTTTGAACTGAAATATTATTAGACGTTTTAAAATATAGAGATATTCTGAAATTTCGACGCATAAATTTAGGGACTAATATAAATAGCAAACATATATATACTGAACTATCAAATTCATTGTTGATTACAAGATTATTTATTTAACATATTATATTTAACATACTTATAAATAGCGTTAAAATAGCTTTAAAGTGTAGAACGATATGAATGGAATCTGTAGATATGGGCTTGCAGCGTAAGTGCGGAGGTATCTGAAATGAAAAGCCCCAAAAATTGGAGCCGCAATCCTATTAGTCCGTTTCCAAATCTCGTTCCCTGGTCATAAATTGCGCTCGGCTCCGCATTGTTGGATGTTTGCTATCTGTTTCTGCTAGTTGCACTTTGGCTGCCACAATGGCAGGATTCTAATAAGCGTGGGAGGCGATGGGTGTGCGAGTGGCCCACAAATCAAAAGCATTTTTGTCACCATTTGGGTGGCTTCCTTGGGGCGGGGCGTGGCACTTGCCGCCCACATCACTGACACATCATGTGTAAGACATTTGAAAATAATACGCGCCGCTTTTTCTGCACTTGATGGCTTGCCACAAAAGAAACCCCATTTGAATATCTGGATGGGCCCGGTTTTAAATTGAGGACGAATATGTTTTTGTAACTTAAGGGGAGATATTTCTATTTCCATCACTTAGGTCTCAATGATCGTCTTGCAAATGGGGAAAGTTTGGCTAAGAAAGCTGTTGCTTACTGCTTTTTGGTTTTTTCAATGTCGATACCCATCATATCACATCAGCCAATTGAAAGTTTTGTAGTGAAATAAAAGGACAAAAGGAACAAATAATTGCTCATAGGTTTATTAAAGGCTGGCGGTAAAATGCATAGATGCGAAATGAAAATAGCTTGCTTGAATTATGTTTATTCATTCGCGTCAACCCACTGCTCGGTCTGACATACGAACATATACTTACTAAAACAATCTTCAGTGTACATTTTCCTGGCGTACACAGTAACACAGCGATCGCCACCGATCTTTTTTTCAGTGTTCCATTTTAGGAAGGGTGGCTCTCTGCCAGTGAGTGTTGAAGTGAGCTGGCCGAACTTATATAAACTATTAATATCTATCCAATAGGCAGAGGCCGGCGCCCTTGAGAATACATCATTCAGCTCTTTCTCATCGTGGATGGTGGCCAGGTGGCCGCCCAATTTGCGGCACGTGAGTGAGGCACCAAACCAATTCTGTTTCTTGTGCCGCTCAAAGTAGAAGCGCCGTGTGCCGATTTCCTGAAACTTATCCGGGTCGATCCAGGGCGATATTCGTGGTATCGCCACAACCTCCTTGCTCTTGTTTCCTATTATGGTCTGGAGCTCATTCAGCTCGTATCTCAACTTGTTTTGCAGGACCATCAATCGTCCTTCAATCGTCCTCTCGAATATCTCGAGTTTCTGTTGAATTTCACTTTCCTTCAGCGCATTGTATGTGAACCATTGCTGCTGATTTATAGCCACATGATCAACTAACAGCGGATTGGTCCTCACAGACTGGCTTTGCTGGGTGTCCGTATTCTTAGCAAAAGCCACCCACGAAGTCCAGGCTAAAATTACGGTTACCAAATGATACTTGAACATATTACTATTACCAGCTAGCCTCAATCTTCAAAACTGACTGTTTTGGACATTAGCTTCTGTGTCACACCTTTTAACGAAATTACAATCCGCAGCTAAAGGCGTTTTAAAGCGTTCATAACTATTTAAGCTTCGGGCAAATGGGTTATTGGCTCCTAAAACTATTAATAGGAACATCTTTCTTGACAACCTCATATTCAGCAATCTTTTTGTTCTCTGCATAACCATCGCTTTCCGCCTTTATGATAGTCGCAAAATTTCGCCCTTTTGTAATTAAGTTGATGGGCTAAAAGTTTTAATTGGCTTGATGCTCGTGCTCGTCCAAACTCGCGAAAATTCCTTCCCAATCGATGGCTGTGTTAAAGGGATATATCCGCGGCATTCATCCAGGCACCTATCTATCCATCTGTTTATCTATCCATCTATCCATCCGTCCAACTATCCATCCATCCGAGAGCAGATATTTCAGCAGCAGCAACGACAACGAAACTCAATTTGCGTCGGCCAAACGATGCGTTGAGCATATAAAATGCAAAGCGGAAGCGACGTTCACGGATAGATTACACAACTACTTACAAATGTGCGATTAAGCGCCCACCACCCACCACCCACAGCCACCCACATTTCCCATTTCCAGCGCTTTTCCTGCGTGTCTGCAACTGTTGCATATTGCAGTGCGTGCGTTGCCTTTATTGTCCCGATGTTAATGGAAACACCTGCTGGCGGCGGAGAAGTCAGCCCCGGAGTCCGTGAACGAGTGCCAGTCATTGTCAGGGGAATCTGGCCAGGATTGCGGGTGGGGCTGGGTCCGCCCTTAAGCTGCGTCATCATCTCCACGCCGGATGACAGCAGACGGACCGAGAATGGCATCTTTTGGGAGCGCTTTCAGGTGATGCCGGCGAGAGATCCATTTCACAAAGTGCAGCCAGTAAAAGTGTTTCTGTGTCAGCTGCCGATGGTGCCCAGATGCCCTGCTAATGTCAACGTGTCACGAGGGACACAAATTATAATTACGTTGAATTCTGATGGGGCGCAACTATATCCCATATCCTTTATGTGGGTTTCCATATAAAACGTTTCAGCTTAGAAGCTCTATTGCAGCCCCACTTCTAGAAATATATATTAATATTATAATTTTGAAGTCGCTTTCATTTTCAGCTTATTTTCAAGGTTCTGGTTAGCACAGCGATTACGTATTTATAATGTAAGCTGTCTAAAAGTATGCAGTGCATTAAAAAATTAAAAAACAACCACCACGTTTGAGTTCAGCGCTTGAACAAGGAAATAGACGTGTGTGTAGGATACCATTTAAAAAGGAACCCAAGGGAAGTGCCAGTGCAACTACCCTACCAAGAAACCAAGGCAATCGTTACGAGCTTTGACCCACCGATATATAAGTAGTTGCAACCCTCCAACTTAATGAGCTCCGAGTGGGGGAGCGGATCAATTGAATTGTGTGCCGCAAGTTGGACAAACCCAATTAAAATTTTGACTGCCCGTTTCTGTGGCGATAAAGAAAGAATAGGGCTATCCACCCCATTCGTGCCACTGCCTCCAGCCGTCGCACAGGTGCTGCCCAATGCCACTCGTTCCGGGCGCTCGAAAGTGCACTGTGCACTCACTCAAAAGTCACTCAAGTCCGGGCGCGTTCCACTGCCACTCGTTCCTCGGGCACTCACCGTGCGCCTTGGCGTATGCAACGCATTCAGTCGCTTGTGGGAGGCAGTTGCATTCGATTGCCAGCATTTTCATCGGCGGAAAAGCCAGGGAGCAGCCAAAAAAGCCGCACAGAGAGAGGGAGAGAACGCGAGAGCGGAGAGGGAGAGGCAGAACACATTCGCTGGTTGGTCTTCCTTTTGGTAGCACTCATTCGACACATTTTCCTTTGGTTTTCCCTCGGCGGCGATACCAGCCGTCGCTTGTTTTTTCGTTCTTCTGTTATTGCTGGCCTTTGTTTATTAGTGCGTGTCTTCGCTGCGAGCGGTTTTCGTAATTGAAACGAGAGCGACATAATTAAATTAAAATATACTCGCACACAGTAGCGCACTAGCATCGATAGACGAGCCAACTAATCACATTACCAGCCATCAGCCATCAGCCATCAACCATCAAGCCATCGGCCATTAGACCATCGTCAGTCGGAGACCGAATCGCAGAGCCGCAACACAAGACTCACAGTTCGCATTGCATACTTTTTGGCGCGCTTCGAAATAAACACACCAATACGTACACCAATACAACACACCAACACAATCAGGCTCGATTGCTGCGTGTGTGTGTGTGCCTGTGCCTGTGTCTGTGTGACAGTGCCATCTAAAGTCGCCCATCCTGCGAAGCGACAAAATTCATCAACTCTTGTGTCTGGTGAGTTGACATAAAAGACAATAGAACTGCTGGCAATAAAAGGCAAAGCTTGAAGCTAACAAGAAAATTCCGGGAAAAGTGCCTCGAGCTGCTGAATGTTTCGGCACTGTTGGTGTGAAAATGTCAGACTAGATCGTGACCTTTAGGAGCTTATCTAGTCTGATCCTTAAAGGTCTTACATGTTCAAAAAGGCTATTAAGTGCGACAAGCGATCAGAAGAAGTAAATAATGATTTTCGAACTAATGCTAAAAAAATAAAGTAAAAATATGGAGAAATCATGAATATTTAACAATTACCCAAAATCTTGTAGATTTCGAGTGCTTTAAAATAACGAAGGAACGTAAAATGAGATTCACAAAAAGAATACCATGATTTCCATTTTATTGCCATAAGCATTTTCAAAAAAACTTTTACAAGAAATTGCTTGTGGCTGATTTACACTTCTCGGTTTCAAGTAACTGAAAATTTCTCAGAAATCCCTTTTATATTATTTAAGAATGCGATGGATTTCACAGAAACGCTGTGGTTATCGCAGGTCCAAGTAGTTAGATAGCTACTACTTCTTTATTTTTGGATACCCTAAATAATATCATTTTATAGTCACATGACTCCGCTAAAAAATGATCTCTATTAAGAAAATGGAATAGTCAAACTGATGGGGCACAGCCTGCAAACTATATTCATCAGTCATTGATAAGGATAAGAAATATCTATATTATATTATATAGTACTATAATACTATATATACTATACTATTGATATTCTTTTCTTACGCATAAAGGCAAAGTACGATCTTACTTAACGATTGAAAGGATTGTAATTCAGAAGACGGAGGAAGTATTAACCCGAAAATTTCCCTATCGATGTGAAACAAGTGAACCGAAATTAACACAATCAGTATCCAGGCACCACCCATCCCGCCCACCTATAATTCCTGCCCATCCTTGACGATCCAATCGCATCTGTGGTTAATGTGCGACAATTACTCGATTTCGCTGCTGCTGTCTGCAGTTGCAATTTACCGCGCTGTAATTGTTTTACGTGCAACCATTAATTGTTGGAAGCGCCACTGCAATTATAAGCCGTTTTTTATCTTTTGTCAATTTAAAAAGCATTTTGAAAAGTCCATGTCCTCATTGCCGTTTGGGTAAATTGAACACATCGTTTTTGTTTGCATGCCAAATTGAATGATTGAATTGTATGTGCATTAAATACGTGTCGTTTTACCTATTTCGAGGGAACTCCTCCGACAACCCGTCGAAAATGGCCTAAGCCAACGCAATCACATTCGCTCACAATTCGCATTTGTCGCGCCTCAATTACGGCGGAAAATATTTGCATTCCAAAAGGGATATTTGCCTACGTGCCATTCGAAGGATATCCCTGCGAGGTCCTTTAGGTAGAGGGGCTTTGACGTGGGTATTCCATTTCGCATTGTCCGGAACGGAATTATGCATGCTGCATTTAATAATTCATTAAATGAGTGAAAAAATTAAACACGAATTCGACTCATTCATTTTTGTCGGTTTTGTGTAATGAATGAATAATATTTAATGGCATTTTTTATGCAGCTACGCTTGCTGCGCGAAATTCATTGAAATGGAATTTGCAAATAGCCAAGCATTAACTAAAAACAATTCATTTTTTCTATTGCTCTTCAATTTTAAATGGGTCTCTTTTTTTATCATTTGTAGCCTTTTTTAAATGGCTTTTTCTTCCGTGAAGTTTGTACACACGATAAGAGTGAACACTCTACAAAATTGCCGAGAAAAACGTATACATAATTTAATATAATATTATTTTCTGCTGAGACAGCAGCTGGCCAATGGCCGAGCCACAATAATGCATAGATAATGCGCCAGGCTGCAGACTCTGTCTCCAACCAACCTTTCCGATTTTCCACCGCCCCGCTGGCGTTGCCCTTAGTAAGTCCGATGAAAAACTGCATTTTCCCGGGCTCCGGCTGCTCCTGCGTCAACGAATTATAATTGTAAGGGCTCCCAGATTCAGCTCCAGCTCCAGCCTGGCCGGCAGTTTGAATAGGAACTGGAATGGGGGCGGCGTTGGTCAGTTTCAGCGTGCGTTGGCAAAAGTCATAAAGAATCCTCCATCCTGGCGGGGAATCGCCGACAAGTGCCGGACAAGTTGACGTTTTTGGTGCGCTGGCTGGGCTCTGCCACTATTTTCTCGCCGTGGAAAGTATGTTAATAAAAATTTTAATTTATCGCCAGGCATAAAAAGTGGTTAAGTGCTGGGTGGGCGGCCCTTCGCTTTTCCTTGCCGTTTTCCTTGCTCCGATATTTTCATATTTTCCATTTTTATATGCCCTGTGTGCTTTGACACGCACAAAACGCGTTCGTTGGCATCGCCAACGTTTGAGCGCCCAATGGCCGCTGCACTCAAAAAAATTTGAAATCCATAGATTATTTAACTTTTTTGTTTTTATATCTATGTACTCTTCTTTAAGATGCTACACTAATCAAATGTTATTCCTGGTTTTCCGGTATTTTCTTTTTTCTTTGCCAACCAAGTCGTGATAAGCTAACATTTTTTAGAGTGCACATCCCCCTGCCGATCTTACTGACGGTGTCAGTGACGCCCTCGTCCACTTAGAATAGCCTCCCCACTGAACGGCGCCTCATCGATAATAGTTTCAA